CCTGGACCGCAGTGCTGGCCGCGCTCATGGCGCTGCTCATCGTGGCCACGGTGCTGGGTAACGCGCTGGTCATGCTCGCCTTCGTGGCCGACTCGAGCCTCCGCACCCAAAACAACTTCTTCCTGCTCAACCTCGCCATCTCCGACTTTCTCGTGGGTAAAGCCCCCGCGCCACCCGCCCGCCCGCGGGACCTGGGCCCGAGCTGCCTCGGGGGCCTCCTGTTCCGCAGGCTGCCCCGCCGGCGGCCTGGCTGGGGAGGGGCGGTGGGGGTGGTCCCCCGGGAAGGGCCGGCGTGGCCGGTGCTCAGCGAGGAGCAGGGCGCAGTGGCGGCGGGTGCAGCGCTGGCTCGGCGCCGCGGACAAACAAAGGCATCAGGGACTCCGGACGCACCGAGAGCACGGAGAGGAGGGTTCCGGGAGGTTTGGGGGAGGGGATAGGAAAAAGGGATTCTCCGAGCCGTGTTGGGGGAGGGGGCCGCGAGAGAGGCAGGGGTGCTCAGAGGAGCGGCGTGCGCTCACGTGTCGTTGCTCTCCTCTCGGCTGGGGGGCGGGGCGCCGAGGGGGCCGAGCGCCAGACACCTGTTTGGGCTGCGAGGTGCTTCTTGCAGACGCTAGGAGTGGGGCTTTGCGGTGGGAACGGCTGGCAAGGTGGCAGCCAAGTGCCCTAGAAACCAGTGAACGGCTTTCTCGGTGCATGAGCTGATGCTCAAGCCCGTCCAAGGCCAGGTTATGGGCTGGGGCCCAGCGCTCAGGAGGAGAAAGAGGAAATTCTACTCCCTTTGGGGCTGGGGAGGGCTGGACGGAAGCCTGGTCCCGGCTCCAGGCTCTGGGTCTCCATCTTTGCAAATGCCCCCATGACCTTGCCGCCTGCTTCCATGTCCAGGGGACGCCAGTGGGGAGGGGGCAAGCATTGAGTGAAGACCAGACACAGGGCAGAGAGTGTGCCCTAGGAGACCGGGTGTGGGGGAGGGTAAGGTGAGTGCTGTGGTCCTAGACCCCCGGGTCCTGCCTGTCCCTCCACCGGGCCAGCACGGCCCACTGCCCCGTCCAGCATGGCCTCCCCGCGACTCTCCCCAGGTGCCTTCTGCATCCCCCTGTACGTGCCCTACGTGCTGACGGGCCGCTGGACCTTCGGCCGCGGCCTCTGCAAGCTGTGGCTGGTGGTAGACTACCTGCTCTGCGCCACCTCCGTCTTCAACATCGTGCTCATCAGCTACGACCGCTTCCTGTCGGTCACCCGAGCTGTAAGTCCCGGGACAAGGTGCTGCTGTTCACCTAGGAGAGGGGAGAGGCCCAGCAGGTGATGTCCCGAGTCCTTCAGGGGTGCTCACACCTGACAGCTGGCTGCTCAGTAGCCATGTGCTGCCAGAGGGCTGGTCCCGGGACAGGGCAGAGGAGGTGTTCTGGAGCCAGAATGAGATGCCCCTGACGGCAGGATCCCCTCAGCCGCCACCACGGCGGGTCCACAGCCCTGGGATTGAGGGAGGATCTGGGGCCAGAAGCCCTTGACAGGACTTGTGTTTGTACCTCCTTCCCCACCACACACACGCGTGCGAGCATGCGTGTACACACACATGCATAGGCACACACACATACATGCCCACGCGGGCACACACATGCATAAACACGCCTGCACATGTGCACACGCGCACGATGCACACACGTGCATGCAGCGTACACGCGTGTACACACGCACCATGCAGACATGCACGCACGTGCCCCAAACTCGCACGTGTGCACACAGCACAATGCACACACGTGCACAAGGCACACAGGTGCACAAACACATGCACACGGGCACACGAGACCAGGCACATATGCACGCATGTGCACACACAGACGTTGCACACATATTCATACACCAAGCATATGCACACATGCCCGTGCACACATGCATGCACACACAGACACACACCACTCTGGTGGTCAGGCAGTGGCTCCGGCTCTGTGGGCCTCCCTTTCCGTGCATGGCGGCCACGGTGACCAGGAGGCAGGGCCGAGAGGCTGCCTGGGCTCTCTGTGTCTGTGCACGCTGGGCACTCGGCGGGCAGGGACGGAGCAGAGATCACCCCTTGACCTCTCACTCCCAGGGGTCTCCCCTCTGCTGGGCGGCGGGGGGGCTCCTTCCTGTCTAGCCTCGAGAAGCTGTGGGACAGAGTGCACGCAGAGGGCACAGGATGGGCCAGACAGACCTGGCTGCAGCCCCAGCTCCGCCTTCCTGAGCTGGTTCACCTGGGTTCCCCACTCCACCCACCAGCCGCTGGGAAAGCCAGGATAATAGCTTTGTTGTGCTACATGAGATAATACCCACAAAGTGCCCCCTCTGCTGAGCCCACCTGAGGGGGACCGCGGACGCCTCCTGGCCTGGCTGGGAAGGGACCAGGGATGTCCGCCGTGCCCTGCCCTCCCTCTGAGCTGTTTGCTCTCTCCACTTGAGGGGAGCAGTGCCCCGCCTGGTTCCTGGGGAGGACTCACTGGGCGCTGCCCCATCCTCCTGCTCTCCCTCCAGCTTTCCTGGTGTGGCTCCAGGATGCTTTGTGCACGTCGGGGAGGGCACTTCGCTGAGGAATGGGCTGGCACTGCCTTTTTTTCCTGCCCCCAACCCTGTTCCCCCCGGGGAGCCGCATGCAGAGCATCTGCACAGGGCTGGGCTGGGCTGGTCCTCGCTGGTGGTGGCTCAGGCCTCCGTCTGCAAGCCCCGCTCGTGGGAAACACGTGCCTCCTGTGTGGTTGAGGCAGAGTGGGGGCTGGTGATGTCGGGAGATGCCAGGGCCCCAGGGAGCTCACAGCCGGGGTGGGGGTCAACAGGCAGCTGAGCACAGTAAGGATTCAGGTTGATCTGGGGGAGGTTCTGAGGAAAGCCCAGGAGGCTTCCTGGCAGAGGCACTTTGAGCTGAACCCTGAAGGAGCCACAGAGAGGGGAAGGACAGGGCACAGATGCCAGGGACTGGCCTGGGCACCATCCCTGCAGGGGACACAGGGGGAAGGACAGGGCACAGATCCCAGGGGCCGGCCTGGGCACCATCCCCTTCCCTGTTGACCTTGCCCCGCCGCAGGTCTCGTATCGGGCCCAGCAGGGTGACACGCGGCGGGCGGTGCGGAAGATGGTGCTGGTGTGGGTGCTGGCCTTCCTGCTGTATGGCCCAGCCATCCTGAGCTGGGAGTACCTGTCCGGCGGCAGCTCCATCCCCGAGGGCCACTGCTACGCCGAGTTTTTCTACAACTGGTACTTCCTGATCACGGCCTCCACGCTGGAGTTCTTCACACCCTTCCTCAGCGTCACCTTCTTCAACCTCAGCATCTACCTGAACATCCAGAGGCGCACGCGTATCCGGCTGGACGGGATCAAAGAGGCGTCTGGCCTGGAGCCCCCGCCTGAGGCCCAGCCCTCCCCGCCACTTCCCAGCTGCTGGGGCTGCTGGCATAAGGGGCGCGGGGAGACGCTGCCCCTGCACCAGTATGCGGTCGCCAAGGTGGCCCCGGGCACCGATGCAGGGGAGACGGCCCTTGGGGGCGGCAGCGGAGGAGGCGGCGCCGGGGTCTCCCCCACCTCCAGCTCAGGCAGCTCCTCCAGGGGCGGGGAGTGGCCACGCTCACTCAAGCGCAGCTCCAAGCCATCGGCGTCCTCGGCGTCGCTGGAGAAGCGCATGAAGATGGTGTCCCAGAGCATCACCCAGCGCTTCCGCCTGTCACGGGACAAGAAGGTGGCCAAGTCGCTGGCTGTCATCGTGAGCATCTTTGGGCTCTGCTGGGCCCCGTACACGCTCCTGATGATCATCCGCGCCGCCTGCCATGGCCACTGCATCCCCAACTATTGGTACGAGACGTCCTTCTGGCTGCTGTGGGCCAACTCGGCGGTCAACCCTGTGCTCTACCCGCTGTGCCACTACAGTTTCCGCCGCGCCTTCACCAAGCTGCTCTGCCCCCACAAGCTCAAGCTCCAGCCCCACAGCTCCCTGGAGCACTGCTGGAAGTGAGGCGGTCCCCCCCCACCACGGCCACGCTGCCCCCACCCGGCCCTCTGAGGAGCCTCGTTGCATCTGGGGCCACCCTAAATGCAGGCAGCCTCCCTCAGGCCATCTGCACTGCATGGTGGGTGTGGGGGACCCTTGCTGGCCCAACTGGAACCTCGTGGGCTGATGCTGCTACCCCAGTCCTGGCTGCAGCCCCAGAGGGACAGTCCAGGGCTCCCGGCCACGCTGTCCCGCCCCCGTGGGCAGGGCGTTAGTGTCCATTTTTGCACAAATACTGGTTGGTGTTCTCTTTCCAAGGCAAGTGCTGAGCGTGTGCTCCGGACCTTCTAACCCTGCAGTCAGCTCCTACACACACACACACACACACACACACCTGTGCACACACACACCTGTGCACACACACACCCGTATGCACACCTGCGCACCTGCACACCTGTGCACCTGCCTGCTCCCAAACTAGCCGGGCCTCACCCTTGCTGCTATCACCCCTGCTTAAGCCTGAGGCCCAGCCCCTTCATCCCTCCCCCCTCCAACTCTCTTGCTCCCCAGAAAGTGTCCAGTGACCCTCCAGGAACCTCACAGCTGTTCTCTGCATTTCCATTCTGGGTGTTTTCAGGAAGATGAAGAAGAAAACACGTCCGTGAACTTGACGTTCCTCAGGTGTTAATCAAGAGAGACAAAATTGCCGAGGCGCTCGGGTTGGATTGGCAGGTGTGGGCTCCCACACCCTCCTCCCTCTGTGCTGCGGCTTGCCCGTTGCCCCGTGCTCCCTGGCTCAGCGCAGTGTGCGGAGCCCATCAGGGCCCTCCCCCGGCTGACCCGGCCCCTCTGCGCCAGCCGCTCAGCTGGGACTGCTGGGGCCTCAGCGGGCGGAGGGGCAGGCATGCCCTGCGGGGCGGCAGGCAGAGAGGCCCCCGCTCGGCCCCGAGCCAGCCCGCTGCACGCCACCTGGTGTTCCCGCTGCCCTGCCCACCGTGAGCCACAATAAAGTGGATTCGTTTCATCTTGCAGATTCTTGAGGCCTTTGTGGGGCGGCAGAGTGGGGAGACAAGAGCTCAGCCAGTGACGGGTGGCTAGTTGTGAGCCTCGCCCCACCACACCAGGCCTCCTCGCAGCGGGGCCAGGCCGACCACCCCAGGCCTTCACGCTAACAAAGGCGTGTACCCCAGCCAGGCCCCACCCTCTGTCTCCCACACTCCCGGGACCCCACAGGGAGGGTCAGCCCTGCACACCTGTTGGGAAGGATGTTGCTCACCAAGCACGTGGGCTCCCCACAGGAGGGGCCCCCCTGCCCTGCCCACCCACAGGATGGGTCCTCCCTCTAGGCCATGCCTAATCCTGGCCTTGGCCTTCGGCCAGGCATGGGGCCCCGCCCTGGTGCTGTCAGGCTGAGGGGTCTCAGGACTAGACCTGTGGCTCAAGGTGAGCATGTCCCCCTCTGCCCTCACACGAGGCCTCAGAGGAAGCCTCGTCCAGGCTGGGGAGACAGCCTCCAAAGAGGAGATGCCGCTGCAGGGCTGCCCACAGGTGCACACAGGGAGGAAGAGGGTGCTGCCCACAGGTGCACAGGGAGGAAGGGTGGGGGTCTGCAGCAGACCTGGAGAGGCTGGCAGGGTGTGAGGGGCTACGAGGGGGCGGCCGTCTGTGGAGGAGTTGTCCAGGGCAAAGGCCTGGAGGCGGGGCTGAGGGTGACGGACGGAGACAGAAGAGGACCCGACAGATGGAGCACAGCGCCCGCCTGGTGAGCAAACTGTCCTGAAGGCGGCCAGGCAGCAAGTCCCTGTGGGCTCCACGCAGGACACAGACACCGGCCTTCACCCCCGGAGCACAAGGCCCACCCAGAAAAAGACAAGTCAGGCCCAGCTCAGGAGAGCTACAAATGCAGGGTGTTAGCTGTCGTCCTCATTACTAGAGGGCCCCCTCTCCCCCGACCACACGGATGCCGGCTTGCTCTGCAGCAGCTCTGGCTGTGGCCCCCTCGCCCTCGGCAGAGACGCATCCTCTCGGCGTAACCCTGTTATGGCTGGGGCCAGAGGGTCCAGTCTCCAGCACTGCAGTGCCGCTCAGCACCCAGACATCGCTTCCTAATGACTCAGATCCGCAAACACTGCAGGGGGGACAAGCTGTTCACAGCAACATTGAAAAAACAAAACAAAAAAATTAAACCTATTTCCTCTGGACATTTTCTCACCCCCACAGCTGTGGCTGCACTTTTATTCCAAACTCCTGGACACTCCCTCCAGAGTCCTAACCCGCACCCCTTCCCGCCTCAGCTCTCTCGCCCTCTACCATCCTGGTGTTATCTCCTGGAAGTTCAAGAGACGCCTGTAGTCAAGGCAGGACCCTCTTCTTGGGCAAGAAACCTTCAGGTGGAGCCAGCACCCTCCTCGGTGACAGGGAAGGGGTGAGCCTGGAGCACTCGGGCCTTCGTTATTCTTGTCCCAGTCTGTGTGTGCCCTCCCCTGCACCATGGGGCTGTGCTGTTATAAGCAGAGGTGGGAGCAGGGCAGGAGGGCACCACGGCAGCAAGGACATCAGATGCCACCTTCTGCAGATCCCGGAGTATGGGGACCCCACCTGGCGGGCGCCCATGGGACACCCCAACACTGTGAAGAGGCTGTGTGGCTGCTGCCAGAGGGCTAGCTGTCCACTCCCCTCCTGGCCCCGTGCGACCTGGCTTGGCCCCCACGGCCTCCGGCCCTGTGACCTGCTTGTCTGGGCAAAGACAAAGAGCCAGTTCTCAGCAGCAGTGGGCGCGTCCATGCCAACAGCACCGCGAGAGCACCGCAGCCCTCCGCTCAGTCCTGCTAAACGGCTGCAAATTGGAGGATAAAAGCACAGACTTTCAAGCAGTTTTTGCCTTCGGTATCTGGAAACTGCTGCTCCAGAGCTCCCGTGTGGGCCAGAGGAGGAGAGAATAAAGAGAGCGAGTCCACTGCCAGCTTCTCCAGCAAACAAACACACCTGGGGGCTGGGGCCGGGCTCCCCATCATGGCCGCCACTGACCAAGCACCTGCTGGAGGCCAGCCCCAACCCGGGAGCCTGGGCTACATGGGCACAGACACACCTGGTCCCCGGGCTCTGGGGGGCACAGAAACAACCAACAATAGATAACCAGGGCCTTCCCTCGGGGGCTGAGAGCTGCAGGGGAGACAGGGCAGGGCCGGGAGGAGCGGCGGCCGGGATCATGACCACTCAGTGGGGTGGCATCCACTCATTCAGTGTCAGACATGGGTTGGGTCCCAGCTCAGCACCGGGTGGGGGTTCATGAGGCAGAGGGGCCAGCCAGGGGAGGTGGAAGGAGAGCGAGGGGCAAAGGTTCAGGGCGTGCACAGGCTACAGGCAGGAGGAGCACCATGTGGCAGCCTTGCTGCTGAGGGAATGGGTGCCAGGGAGGGGGCCTCGGGCTTGAGGAGGGCGCAGTCTGGGAGGCCTGCCTGGAAGCAGCGGTCCCCGATGACCTAACTATGGGGTGCCTGGGAAGCCACAGAAGGGAAGGTGCAGAGACTGGGAGGGCATGGCTGGGGAGGGACGTGGTGTCTGAGGAATGGGGCAGTCCTGGGACTCAGGACTGGCCCAAGTGCATGGGGGTGGGCTGTCCACAGCACTGGGGGCACCCACTAGCAGGAGGCCAGAGCCAGCAGACCTGACAGGGCTCCAGACAGGGCCCCTCGGGATGGGCACTGCTGCATGTGCTCCTGTGCTGGCTCTGGGCTGCTGCCTTAGTCAGCCAGTGCTGCTGTAACAGAAACACCACCAGTGGGTGATTTAACAAAGAGAAGTTTATTCTCTCACAGTGAGGAGGCTACAAGTCCCAATTCAGGGCACCGGCTCTAGGGGAAGGCTTTCTCTCTGTCGGCTCTGGAGGAAGGTCCTTGTCTCTTTGAACTTCCGCTCCTGGGCGATCTTCACATGGCTTGGCATCCCTCCCCTCTTCCTCCCCACTCGCTTCCTTGCTTGTGTAATTTCTTTTATCTCTCAGAAGAGATTGACTCAAGACACACCCTTTCCCAAATGGGATTATAACCACAGTCATAGAGGTTAGGATTTACAACACATGTTTCTGGGGGACACAATTCAATCTATGACATTCCACCCTTTGGGCCCCCCAAAATCATGTCCTCGCCACATACAAACCACACTCACCCCATCACATCCTCCCAAAGGTCTTAAATTGGCTCCAGGTCCAAAATCTCATCGTCTGAATCATCTCAATCAAATATGGGTGAGACTGTAGGTGTATTTGATCCTGGGGCAAAAGTCCTGTTCATCTGTGAACCTGTGAAATCTAGAATACAAGTTATCTGTTTCCAAAATACAATGGCGGAACAGGCACAAGGTAGATATTTCCATTACAGATGGGAGAAATTAGAGGGAAAGAAGGGATAATGGGCACCAAGCAAGTCCAAAACCCAGAAGAACAATTTACATTCAAGGCTTGAAAATAATCCTCTGTTCTTTGAGACCATCTGGGCAATGGCCCTGCCCTCCAGATTCTGTGTGTTGGCCAACCTCTCTAGATTGTGGGTGGGGGCTCCTTGGCTTTGGCCTTCAGCTCAGCCTCCCAGGCCCGCTGGGAAGGTAACTCTGCTCCCTCGGCTTTGGGCGGTCCTATTCTCCTAGTCCATCTGAGTGGTGACTCCACCCCCTCAGCCACAGCAGGCTCCATTCTTCTGTCCCCTCAGCTATGGGCAGAGGCCCCATCCTCTTGGCCAAACTGAATGGCAGCCCCACACTCCAGAACCAAGTTAGTGAAGATCTGATTCTTTGAAACCTAGAAAACTGTGGCTCTACCCTTTGAGACCCCAGCGGCTGTGGTCCCACCTTTTGAGACCCCAGAGGCCATGGCCCCACCCTTTGAAACTGAGGCAGCTCTGCTTCCCTTGCTTTTTCCAACAGTTCTGCTGATTTCTGAGCTGCTTCAGGGATGGTTCTTTTCTTTTCCTTGGAGGACAACAGATGTAGCTCCCTTGGCCCGTTTCCTGCCTGTAGAATTCCAAGAGGCAGATAGTGTTCTTTCCTTTTGTTCTTTCTCTGTCCCTTTCAGTCTAAGCTGATGGGTTTTCTCCTGTGGTAGTTGGTTAGACCCATCAGTCACAGGCTTAATCTCTTTAATGAAAGATTGTGTAGCCACATCCTTGGTGAAAAGTTTAGGACATGTGTCCTTAGACTGTACAACCAAATTTTCCAAATCTTTAAATTTTGTCTTCATTTTTCACAGTTCAGTTTTAAGTCCATCTCTTTCCTCTCACATTTTACTATAAGCAACAAGGAGAAACCACAAAGGCCCTTTAAGATCTTGCTTAGAAGTCTCCTCAGCCAGAAATCCAAGTTCATCACTTCCAAGTTCTACCTTCCACCAAACATTTGAAATAATTCAGACACGTTCTTTTTTTGCCACACATAAAAACCATCGCCCTTCCTCCACTGTCTAGTCACATGTTCATCATTTTCTTTTAAAAGTCTCATCAGAAGCACATTTAATGTCCACATTTCTAGTGACATGCTGTTGTTGGCGCCATATGTATTCTCTAAGATGACAGAGACTTTTCTCTATGGCTCCCTTCACTTCCTTCTGAGCCCTCACCGGAACCACCTTTGACGGCCATGATTCCACCAACAATCTCCTCAAGGCAATCAGGCT